GTGAACATGTACAAACTTTGTTTAAAAATATAAAATCAAGTGTATGTAGAGGTTATCCAGAGTGAAAAATAAATTTATTCCCTTGAAGTGTTATTGAAATTTCCTAAAAAGATGTATTAATCGTAGGACCGAACTGGATTGATGATCCCATGTTGTCCTAACAGAAACAATCTATGATTGTCGTTTATGATGGGGTGTTGGAGCAAATGCGTCAACTTGATTAATACTGTGCAAGTAAATTCCTTCTGGCCGATTCAGTACTCAAATTATGTATGGCAACACCAATAGTTATTCTTGACACTCGTACGTAATATGTAATAGATTCAAGCTATTGATGATAATACACAAAATCGATATTGGATCTGGAGAAAATAGTGAACCCAGAAAAGATACCGAATTCGGATTCAGAAAATATAATAACGATACCGATAAAGGAACAAAAGCCAGAAGGATTGGCGCGATTATTGGAGGTATAATAACAGTTATTAGATATAAACGAAGACTGACAAAACAAGCTTGAGAAAATAGCTGACGTTCTCACTTAAATAGCCAAATTACGTTTCCTACACAAGTTATCCCAGGTTATTAAAGTAATCCAATGATACCGATACATACACCCAAATCAAGAAATAAAAGGTTTATTCCACGTAGAAAATTTCATTCGCCGATTTCTTTCTCATAAATATTTGAAATATGTATTTTTATTAAAAGTTCTTAATATAAATATACTTGCCTTAATAATTAAAAAATTTTGTTTTTTCTTGTAAAATGATAAAAAAGATTGTTAGAATCTTACAAAATTCAGCTAAGTTCTTTATAAACCATGAAAAAAATATGTTATTAATTTTATTATTTTGATATATAATTGACAAAAGGCTATCTTCTTCGATAGTCTCGAATGTACAGATACTAACGCTAAAGTTAACCCATTTTTAAGTGCTACTTAAAATTGTCATCAGAGGCACAACAGATATCTAAATTTATAAATATGATTGTAAAAAGGTTAACCTACTCTATGAACAAAATCGCGCGGTACTGCATCAAAACTATTATGGAATAGCTTGGGAACTAGAAAGAACTGCTTTGGAATTAGCGCAATTCCAGGAACCGGATTCCGGCAAGTTCATGAGCAGTTCTTGGAATTCCAAAAAATTCCGTGGGATCGATAAATTTTTCATAACACGTGTATTACAATTACATTATTATCTAAATTTTCATTATTTATAAAAAATAATGTGTGCTAAACATAAAATAAACTAGACTAGAATAATATAAAAAATGATCATAAATTGAATACTTTCATAGCTTGCTCTCTCGCTGGACAATAACCGTTCTGATCAGCTTTTTTGTACCAATTCAACGCCATAAAACGATCATTTAAAACCCCAAATCCGTATTGATAGCATTCAGCCAATTTGAACTGCGCGAACTTAACCCCAAATTCAGCGGATCTTAAATAACATCCAAAAGCTTTTTTCTCATCTTTTTGCGTCCCAATACCAATTTGATAACATAAACCGAGTTTGCATTGTCCTTCAGCATCTCCCCCTTTTGCCGATTTCAAATACCATTTGAATGCTTTTTTCTCGTCTTTTTGCACTCCAACGCCATTTTGATAACATAATCCAAGTTTGCATTGTCCTTTAGCATCTCCACCTTCTGCTGATTTCAAATACCACTCAAAAGCTTTTTCTTCAACTTTTTGCGTTCCAATACCATTTTCATAACATAAACCAAGGTTGTATTGTCCTTCAGCATCTCCGCCTTTTGCCGATTTCGAATACCATTCAAAAGCTTTTTCCTCATCATTGTGCGTCCCAATACTAATTTGATATCTAAATCTTCTAAACACTGATGCTAAAGATTCTGAATGATAATAGGAAGGTTGTCGCACCCCAATACGATTTTGATGACAAAAACCAAGTTTGCATTGTCCTTTAGCATCTCCACCTTCTGCTGATTTCAAATACCATTCAAAAGCTTTTTTGTCATTATTTTGTGTTCCAATACCATATTGATAACATAAACCAAGATTGCATTGTCCTTCAGCATCTCCCCCTTTTGCCGATTTCAAATACCATTTGAATGCTTTTTTCTCGTCTTTTTGCACTCCAACACCATTTTGATAACATAATCCAAGTTTGCATTGTCCTTTAACATCTCCACCTTCAGTAGACTTTAAATACCACTCGAATGCTTTATTGTAATCTTTTTGCGTTCCAACACCATTTTGATAACAAATGCCAAGATTGCATTGTCCTTCAGTATCTCCCCCTTTTGCCGATTTCAAATACCACTCAAAAGCTTTTTTATTATCTTTTTGCGTTCCAATACCATTTTGATAACTAAAGCCAAGACTGCATTGCCCTTTACTATCTCCCCCTTCTGCCGATTTCAAATACCATTCAAAAGCTTTGCTTTTATTGTTAAGTGTACCAACTCCATTATAGTAGCAAAATCCGAGTAAATATTGAGCAATCGTATTGTTTTCCTTTGCTGATTCTTTATAAAATTTAAAAGCAGTTTCAAAATTCTGTTCAGCTTTTATACCAAAATGGTGCAAAAAACCATACACGACTTTACATGAAATATTCGATTCTAAGATTTGCAAGAATTTTTTCCATTCAAGTGCACTTTCTGCTAATATTAATGCTTCTTGTATTTTATTTGCAGTTTCGTTTAAATTTTTCGACGAATGAATCATTCTGTCAAAGTAGATAAATATTTCTTCGGCAATTGAATCGTTTTCGTTTTTTACGAGATTAGAGAAAGATGTGTTTGTTATAATTTCATGCATTTTCAATTATTTTTCGCAGGAAACCTCTTGTAATCAGCAATCAATTGGCGTTTAACATTATATCACTTTTATACGTTCAATGGTCCATTGCCAACACTGTTTTATACATGTATAATGCGGAAAATAAGCATCTCACTGTGACAAATAAGTATTGACATGTATATGTACAGACAAACATCCCAAAATACTCCCTCTATAAGTGCACACCCTCTCTAAATGCACAGCATGGCTGGGTCCCAACTCATAAGATCTCTGTATATTTGCTCTCTATAAATACACACCGCTATAAATGCACGCTTTACTATGGTCCCAAGGGGAGTTTGCATTTAGAGAGGTTGGTCTGCACATGTATCGATCGATATCGATATGTACATGTAATACAGGGGCTTATTTTCCGCATTACCGTATACGGTAATAAATCGGATTCAAGAATTCCGTCAGTAATTTTTTATAGAATTTAATTGGTTCGGATTTTACTTAACGTTAATATGTGTAGCTCTTGTATGGTACATGTATCACTTTTATAAGTCTAATGAGCCAAATGGACCAATTGCCCTTTAAATGAATACTCAGGCGATAAATAATTTTATAAATAATAGGATGAACAATTGCATAAACAATTTATGGATACATTAACACAAGCAATCAGCGCATTCAACTTAGAAGTGGACGTACGAATGTTTAATGAAATATCGAAACAGTAGGAAGTGCTATCAGAGATTTAAAACAAGAATTAATCATAATTTAATTATCTAGAGGGAGAGGTCGTTGAATGCGCCGATTGTTACACGAATCTCGAAGTAAACTCTACCGTATATACTCGCGAAATAACGCCCACCCGCGCGTTATTTCGAGTATGCGCATGTGCGTTATTTCCCGATCCTAATATTTTCAAAATAACACCCATGGGCGTTCTTCATGCATATTAGATCGAATCTTATAACGTATTGTTATATTAAGTCTTTTTTTAGAACGCATTGTTTTTTTCTTTTTTTCCTTTCTACTTCTTTATTTATATAAATTCATTGTTTTTTTCCTTTCTACTTCTTTATTTATATAAATTCATTGTTTTTTTTCTTTTTTTTCCTTTCTACTTCTTTATTTACGTCAATCACTTCTAATTACAGGGTTACGGACATGTGATGCGTGTTTATCACAGTGTTTAAAGGTTGATTTATTAGCGTTATGGTTAGGGCTAGAGTGGAGGGCTAGAGTATATGTAAAATCGCCTCCCCGACGTTTTTAATTAGTGCTCCAAGATAGATTAAAGCATATTTTTCATTTTTTACGTCCGTGCTTCGGATTTGTTTTTCCGAGTTGATCGGACAGATCATCGGACCCACCAGAATTTAGCCAATTCCTAATTACACCACAAATTACATGTACATTAATTTCTTCAATAATTTCTTCTGTAATATGAAAATAAAAAAATGTATATAATGAGAATGAGAAAGAGCAGTTAAAAAAGAGAATTGGCAAATAAGCAATAAAAACCTTAAAAAATATAATTACTTACTTGCGTACAATAAGTTCTTATAGTGCCTTTTTCATTCTCCATCCTAATAATCCATTGTTGTAAAGAGGGTTTGCCACTTTTGATCCAGGAAAAGTGAGAGAATTGTTTTAACAACCGTAACAATTGCGATTGGAAGGATTTACGCTTTTGGTCCGGAAAAAGTGGTTGTGTTATTAACGTTTATGACGTGGACGACGGTTGAATACAACAATATCCGAAGATATTGGCACGGGACTCTAGAAAAATTTATAATAAAATAATCTTAGTCTAACTCGTTTTTCCACCAAAGTCACAGATTAGCAGCTAATTCCTATAATCGGCCCTAACCTGTAACAGTATAATACATGTATTTCTAACTTTATGTGCAATATTTTTTTATGTAATAGTTAAAAACGGATTCCTGCTTCCTATACAAGTTGCCGAGGTGATTCTTCCAATCTTTTGCCATACTCTTGTGCCTCTTGTTAAGTTACGCCCTAACGAGGGGTGGGGCTCTACATCTCTGCGAGTGGCTGAATTCTGGCTGTTCTGGTCTTAATTTTTACTTGATCCGACTTTCTGGGAAATAAATTTTTTTTATAAAGTTTGATAGTAATAAAACGAATGAGATAAGAAAAATGTACGTTCTGCCTTGGAAGACATAACCAACCAACCGACATCAGCGAAAAACGAAGTACTACAAACATCATGGACACCTCATCAAAGAGAAGAAAATCCGCAGTTCCAAAGATGAATCAATTTCGCCCTTGTATCGATATTCCCTTACGCGACAATGGATCAACAAATATTCTTGAGGTTTTAAAGTCAGCTGTCAGTGTTTTTGATCAAAATACTATTGCATTAGGATCCTCTCGCTCGTATAAAATTGCAAATGATAATATAGAGAATAAGCATAATCACCTAATTAGTTTTTGGATAAAGTGAATCTTAGTATAATAATTCAGATTTTATGTTTTGTATAAGAATATATAAAAATTACCTAAATGCTTTTAATCTAAAGAATCCATAGCAATTCAGATAATAATTTGATGTTTATAAAAATAAAAATTTTCAATTATTTTGGTGTATTATTAATGTGTAATCATGCTTAATAAAGGAGACGTGTTATTATATATAATAATAAATATACATGTTTTTTTATTTTCATATTTGATAATTCCAGCATTATATAGTATCTTATTAATATAGCTATCCAATTAATTATTAATTAACAATTAGTAATTTGTCCAGCAAATTATCATGAAAAAAAGATAAAATTAATTCTATTATATATAATGAGAACCTCAACTATATAACCTTATCTAACATGATTTTGCGAACTTTAGAAAAAATGAAATAAGTTATCAATTCTGAACAAGCAAAAGAATTCTCAATTTATAAAAAGCCTAATTTGTTCTGGAATTTCAAGTAGATGTCACTGAATTTTGATTTATATCAGTTTATATCAGTTTATATTTTTATCTATTAACTATATATATTAGAAATTTTAATATTTATGAAGCAACTGTTCCAGATTGAATGCATTTACTCAATCTTGAAATAATAAAATATCTCTCAAAATTACTCATCCTTATCTTTAATCCAAAGTCAAGACTGAAATCATCAAACAAATATATTTGTGATTTAGTGTAATTTCTTGTTATTCTGAATTAATTATTATAAAAAATAGTTTGAAAAATGTGTCACACTTTATGGTCAACAATTATTGAAATATTATGAAGATAATAATTTTCATGATCAATAATCTATATACAGAATATTAAGAGAGTAAAATTCTATGTGAACAATTGTATGATATATTTTATATGTATTCAAAAATGTATATAATATTGTGACAAGATTCATTTATTGACATAAACTTGAAGAAATTAGAGATAATTATTATTCATTCTCTAGTCTATTGAGAATATTTTAGTTATATTCACAATTATTTTTTAGAAATCAATAATTAACTTTTGTCAAGAGTTTGTTACTGTATTTTATGAGTTTTTGTCTAGTTATTACAAAATATCAAAGCTTTATATACTCTGATATTATGTAATTTTAATTATCAAATAATATAATACTACCAATAATATATTCACTGAGACTTATAAAACTTTATATAAGGATAATGTAAAAAATTCATATCAAATGTCAAACAAAAAGAATTATCTTTCTCAAATGCTAAAAATAGTGAAATTTTAATAATTAGTAAGATTTTTTAATAAATTTTAATAATTGATATTACTTATTATTATAAGTATAATATTAGAATTTAGTTGTAAAACAAAGTAAGAAAGCTAAAATAAGAAAATCTAGCAATTTTCAAAATCTTTTGTATAGATTTAAGGTAGTGAAAATAGAAAAGATTTATTCAAACCAAAAAACTCATAATATTTATCAATTATATAAAGAAGAATTCAAAAATTTATAAGTAGATTTGGAAAAATTCTTGCAAGAAAATAATGAAACTCTTGATGAGAAATATATTTTTATAAAAATATATGCAAGTACAACTATTAGATCAATAAATATTATTCAAATAACATATAGTTTTTATGATAATGAATATTTTAATAATATAGTGATATCAGTATTTGTTGAGAAAAATCAATTAGTATGATATGATAAAATATAATATAATTTTATTCGATTATTCAATTTGAATCTAAACCTAATTTTAATTTTTATTTGATTATATATAGATATAATTATTGCTAGAATTATTTGCTAAAGAAAAATATAATTTGATTAATCTCATTTTATTAAAATAATATAATATATAATCACCAAAAGAAAATAGATATAAAGATAATGAATAAGAACTATATAGATATTTGCATTTATAACTAACCAACCAATATATATATATATATATATATTTAAATTTAGTTAATAACTCAGTATATATTATAAAAAAAAACAAGAAAATGAATATTTAGTAAATAAATATATCTTTTGAAGCTAATCAATAATTAATGAGCAATAACATATATCTGTATTAATTAGAGTTTATATGCAAAATAATATATTAGCATTATTATTTAACTAACTTGTTTGAATTATCTCTCTGTCTTTTATTCATCTATATGTTGTCACAATCAGGCTCCTGGTAGGTATAATCATGATGTAGGTGTTCAATCAATGTCTGATGACAGTATTTTTACGGTTACTCGATCTCATTGTAATTAGTATACTTCAGGATCATCATGCAGTGCATTTTCTTCTATCTTATAGATAGACTCTCACTATTACTAATAGATATTATGTCTACTTAGTGTGGAACAG